TAGTCGCCAGACACTGCCAGGGGCACCATTGGGATCCAGACTCGCACCCAGACTCACTCATACACAAGCTCACTCACACTCAGATTCATTTCTTCAGAGTCAGGCACGCACAGACGTACCCATACTCAGACTCACCCACACTCAGGCTCACCTAACCCAGACTCCGTCAGAAGCCAGTAGCGAAGAGAGCAGAGAGGAGAGAGAGAGAGAGAGAGACAGAGAGAGAGAGAGAGAAAGAGAGAAGAGAGAGAGCAGAGAGGAGAGAGAGAGAGAGAGAGACAGAGAGAGAGAGAGAGCGGGAGAGAGCGAGAGAGAGAGAGAGAGAGAGAGAGCGAGCGAGCGAGCGAGAGAGAGAGAGAGAGCGAGGAAGAGAGAGAGAGAGAGGAAGATAGAGAGAGAGAGAAGGAGAGAAAGAGAGAGAAAGAGAGAGAGCAAGAGAGAGAGAGAGAGGAAGCGAGAGAGAGGGAGAGGAGAGAAAGAGAGAGAGCGGAGAGAGAGAGAGAGGGGGAGTTGAGAGAGGAGACAGGCGAGAGAAAGAGAGAAGAGAGAAGAGAGAGAGAGAGAGAGAGAGAGATAGAAGAGAGAAGAGAGAAGAGAGAGCGAGAGAGAAATATAGAGATAGAAGAGAGAGAGAGAGAGAGAGAGAGAGAGAGAGAGAGAGAGAGGCAGAGAGAGAGAGAGAGAGAGAGAGAGAGAAGAGAGAAAGTGGAGAGAGGAGGGGGGGGAGAGGAAGAGAGAGAGGAGAGAGAGAGAGAAGAGAGAAGAGAGAGAGAGAGAGAGAGAAGAAGAAGCGAAGAGAATAGAAAGGAGATATAGACGAGAGAGAGGACGGAGCGAGAGGAAGAGAGAGAGAGAGAGAGAGCAGAGAGCGAGAAGAGAAAGAGAGAGAGAGATAGAGCGGAGAGAGCAGGAGAAGCGAGAAGACGAGAGAGAGCGAAAGTGATGAGCGAAAGAGAGAGAGAGAGAAGAGAGAGAGAGAGAAGCGAAAGAGCGACGAGGAGGCGAGAGAGAGCAAGAGAGAGCGAGAGAGCGAAAAAGAGAGAGAGAGAGAGAAGAAAAGAGAGAGAAGAGAGCGAGGGAAGAGTAGAGAGAGAGAGAGAGAGATATAGAGAGAGAGAAAGAGAGATAGAGAGAGAGAGAGAGAGAGAGAGAGATAGACAGAGAGAGAAGAGAAGAGAAGCGAAGAGAAGAGAGAGAGCGAGAGAGAGAGAGAGAGAGGGAGAGTGAGAGAGAGAGGAGAGAGCAGAGATATAATAGAGAGAAGAGAGAGAGGAGAGAGAGAGAGAGAGAGAAGCAGAGATAGAGGCATAGAGAGAGAGAGAGGCACAGAGAGAGAGGCAGAGTGAGAGAGAGGCAGAGAGAGAGAGGCAGAGAGAGAGGCAGAGAGAGAGAGAGAGAGAGAGAGGCAGGAAAGAGAGGCAGAGACAGAGAGAGGGCAGAGAGAGAGAGAGAGAGACAGAGAGAGCAGAGAGAGAGAGAGAGAGAGAGAGAGAGAGAGAGAGAGAGCAGAGGCAGATTCGTCCTCACCGAGTCCCACCACCAAGGGAGCGCCAGCAAGGAGATGCACATATGGGGATCCCCACGCAGTGAATAATTGTGTGTGTGTTTATTTGTGTGTCCCAGGGCCCCTTCCTTGGAGAGCGCCGCCCGTGGCCCAGGAGCGGCCGGGATCATCGAGCGCCGGGCGCTTTGCCGGAAGGCCGCGCTCGCCCGGGGCCGGGCGATCCACGCTCGGGGCACCGGGAGGGCACCAGCTTGTACTACGGGACGTGAAAACGACCACAGCCACTGCGTTTCTTTTATTGCCGCCTGCCAGCCAGCAGAAACAAAGCAGTGGCTGTGGTCATTTTCTCGTTGAGCCTGGCACCAGGGAAATGACCACAACCACTGCTTCTTTTTCGGCCGGCTGGAAGGCGGCGCAAACAAGAAGCAGTGGTTGTGGTCATTTTCCCGTCCCGCATGTACACTGAAGCCGGGCCTGTTCGTCTACAGGAGGGGCATTCAAAAATAGTAAAAAACAGTCAGGGGACGATGTTTTGATATTTTGTTTTTTATGATTTTAGGGGTACTTTTCGAGTCTGTTGAAGTCTTCGCCCAAAATCCGCCTGTGGGGGGACGCGCCCGACCCAAGGGTAGGTTGGGGCTGTGGGTGCCTCCTCCCTTTGTTCCTGCTAGGTCATCACGCTCAAAGCCCCGACGGGCGGACCGACTTCCACGCGGTGTCAGAAAACCAGCGCCGAAGTCGTCGCCACGGGGGCCGGCCGTAAGCGAGGAGGGAGCGGGGAGGAGGGAGGTGGAGGGCCTGGGTCTGGGAGCCCCATCCTGCGTCGAGCGCCGGTCGCTGTGGCGTGCGTCTGGCCCGTCAGCACTTCCCCCGCCGCGGGCCCCTCGGACTGCCTCTGTTCCCCGGCGGGTCGGCTCGCGCCGCTCCCGCTGGAGGCCACGCGGAGTCGCACAGCATCGCAGAGCACCGGGGGGGCGACGGCCCATGAGGCGGAGTGGGTGGGCCAGTCAGGGCAACGCTGCCTGGGAGATGCTCTCGTTCCAGGGCATCGGTTTGGAAGCATAATCCAGCATACGTGTTATGGATATCAGCAGGACGTCCCAGTGAGCAACTGGCGATTCACATATCCCCGCCAGTCCATCCAGAAACGAGCGCCAGGCGGGTTGCCTGATGAGGAAGTGTAGGAGCACTCAGTGGGACAGAGGTGACTCAGTCGTCAAGCCCAAGCTCGATACGATCCTGAGCAGATCCAGGAGTGGAATTGCTGAGCCTGCCGTCGAGGCAGGAGGAGGAGGATGCGGAGGAGCAAGTGGAGAAGGATGACAGGGAGGAGGGAGGATGATGACGGTAGAGGGTTTGGGGAGAAGTAATTAGCAGGAGGAAGAGCAAGAGCAAGAACAGGATAATGGAGGAGGAATGGCGGCACAGATGACATTAACGAGGACGAGGCGGAGGAGGTCGATGACGACGACGATGGCAGGAGTCAGCCATGAAGACTTTCGCGGATCTCTTCGCTCCAGGAGCTCCTGGAACGCCCCCTTGAGAGGCCGGAGCCCTCTTTTGGAGCCATCCTGGGTTCCTTGGCGGCTCGCTTGGGGCCTTCTCGGGGCCCGCTTGGAAAGGATGCTTCGAGAAGCTGAAGAGGAACTATCGATCAACATGGTCAAACATATGCCAATGTCATCAAAGGGCTGGCAAAATACTCCTGTTTTGGAGCCATCTTGGGAGCCTTTGCGTCTCGCTTGGGGCCTTCTCGGGCCCGCTTGGCGATGAGAGGAGGTCCAGTATCAGCCCCGCCCCTCTCCGAGCCCGACGGGTCGCCTCGCTCCTGCGGCGCTCCCGAGGCGCCTCTCTGGGCACTCTTCGGAGCCGTCTCGGAGCCCTCCTGGCTGGAGTACATCTTGAGCCATCCTGAGCTATCTTGTGCCACTGATTTATCCTCACATTGTTTTTCCGTCGAATATAAGAGATTCTGCGTAGGATGCTCCGAGATCTACAGAGCATTCAGCGTACTCTTCGTAGGTCCGGCGGAAAATTAAGTTTCGGGGTAAATCAATCCTGTGGTCGATCCCCCAGTCGAAGTGTGGAATCCATTTGGAGCTATATGAAGCTATCGTGAAGCCATTTTGAGCCACCTTTGACGCAACTTCTGAGCCACCGCGAAAACTCCTCTGTTCAGACCTAGGCGAAGGGGTAGGATAAGATGTTTTGGGATATTTGTTGGGGTATAGAAAAAGTCGCCCTAAATCCCCCTGTAGGGGGACACGCCCGATGTAAGGATAGGGGGAGGCGTACTTCTCTCCACGAAGCGTCCTAGGCCATCACCGCCTAGAGGGCCGGTGGGATTGGCTCTCTCGGCCGACGATAAGGTTGGAGGAATTCTCCGAGGGGCCTAGGCGACCAGTCCTCCTCCTCCTCCTCTTCCTCCTCCTCTTTCTCCTCCTTCTCCTCCTCCTCTCTCCTCCTCGTCGTCGTCGTCGTTCTCCTCCTCCTCCTCCTCCTCGGGTCGCCTTTGGCCCTGGGGGAAACCGTGCAGATAAGGTGTGCGCGAATTCCCGTTAGCCTGGCCTCCCTAGGCCGTTCAGAGCCCAGGTCGATGAGGACTCGGTTAAGGAATTTTTCAGGGGGTCCCCAGCCAGCCTGCCACCACATCGATTCCGAGAGAAGAAACGCGCCGACCGTGACCAAGATGTCCCAGGATATTGTCGGTGCTGATCTTGGTCATGGTCCATGCCGACCGTCGCCGATTCGCGAGGACGATCCGCGAATTGACGCTGACCCAGATGGACGGTGACCAAGACCGGCACCGAAGCTTCTGCGCCACTGCTCTGTTTCCTTCCGTGCTGTGGGACCCTGGAGATCGGAGGACATCCTCCTCCCGCTCCTCCTCCTCGGGACGGCGGCGTGAGCGTCACTTCTGCCCGGCGGGCCGCGCCGGGCGCAGCTTCAGCGGCGACGCGCGGCGGTGGCGGTGGCGGTGGCAACGACTGACGACGAGGGCGTAGGAAGACGCACGACGACGCAGGGCGGAGACGACGCCGACGCCGACCGCGACAGCGGCGAGGGCGACGTTGGCGGCAGCAGGCCGTCAACGGCGGCGGGGCAGCGACGGTGTCCGCGACGCGAAAGGCGGCAATGGCGGCGACGCTGGTGACGGCCACGACGACGACGACGGCGATGGACAATCACGACGGGCAGCAACGCATGACGATGACACACGACGACGACCACTGCGATGGCGACAGCTTGCAGCGTCGACGACGGACGACAGCGCGCGACGACATGCAATACAGTGACAACGACGACAACGGGAACAGCGTTGACGGTGGCGGCGGCGACGATGGCAGCGACGCGCGACGATTTATGATGGCCGCGGCGGGAACTGCGGCGACGACAGCCTCGATGGCGTACGACGATGGCGCCGGCAGCGACCTTGCTGCTTCCGTCTGCTCGTCGCATCGCTGCCTTCGCCGCCAGCCCGCATGCACCGCCCGGAAGCCATTTGGGTCCTGGCCTGCACGGGTGCCACGCTGCAAACGCGCAGGCACGCGCGCCTAAG